CACAACTGGGAAATAAATGGGAAATCAAATAAAAGACAAGCATACCAAACGCCATGTTCTTCTTGCGTTTCTGCAGCCAGGTAGCATCAAATGGGAAGCGCCGCCTCCATAAATAACACCTCCGCTACAAATCCAGGTCTTCAGCTACGTGTTGGGGCTTTTTCAACAAAGTGCTACTATAATTGGAATAAAAGTCCTGAAGTGTCCTGAAGTGAACATGATTTAATATCAGAGACACCAAACACTTCAGTCAAAAATAAACCTGATTTTTTTTTTCCCTCCTTCTGTAGGCAAAACCTGATTTTTGTTTTCTTTCATTGTTGCAGTCTGTTTCCATGACGGTGTGTTAAACACTTATTAATTTCTCAGCCAAAGCCCTACCGTTCAGATTTATGATGGCTGGTGTTTTATGAACTATCCGCTGCACAATAATATTTTGTAAATCCACATTCCACAAACATCACTGTGCTTGAAGTAAAGCTTCACACTCAGCTAGGCTGGGCGCTCAACAATACCCTCATTTTTAATCAGTCACCTGTTTCTCATTTTAAGTTTATCACACTTGAAAAAATACTATAATTTCTAGCGTTGTAAAGAAACCTACAAACTTTGGTCTCAGAAATTTCATTTCGAAGGCATTAACTCATTTTGAAAGTCCCTTGGCTATTTAAGGTGTAGAGTTTCCATTAACAGAATAAACTCCGTGGAGTATGAAGCGTAATGTTCTTAAGGAAAACAGTCCCTTCCCCTAATTATTTAGTCTAGCAGGGAATGAAAATAATTAAGTCTCAAAATTCCCTTTAGAGTGGAGGCGGGGGGGGTGGTGGTGGTGGTGGAATATGGTAGCAAAATTAGCTTTTTTTCCACCCAGCTACCGAAGGGAGCCGAGCCGTGCTGGGCGCAATCCGTAGCTGGAAGGTGGGAGCGAAAGTGTCTTCACGGTGTGCAGCAGCCGCAGATGGGCTCCGGCTCACGGGTGAGGGTGCAGGGATGCCCTTGGGAAACTATCACAGCTACAGCCACCTTGAATTATCTTTTTCTTTCCAGGTGTTACCGCTGAGGCTTAAATTTAAGGCGTTTGTCCACAACTAAAATGGAATTATGACAAAAAAGGTAATTGCTGGCTGTAAGCGGCTGCCAGTGCTGCGGACGCCCGCGTCCAGCGCTCAGTTAATAAGGGGTCTAGATGAAAAAAGTACGTATCCTGCTAACTGCCTCTTCTTACATTTCTTCTGCCCAGATTGGAAGGCGCAGATCAATCCCCCAGGTTCTGGCCATGGTTCTACCACAGGACCACGGCCGGGAACGTGCCGGGGGCTCAGCAGCCCTGCCGGTAGCTTCCATGTGCAACTAGGGGACGTTTAAAATTAAACAAAGAAATAGCGTTTTTGAAATTTAAAGGAAAAAAAAACCAACACCCCCAAACCCAGCAGGGCAGCCTGCCCCAGCAGAAGTAACAGTGAGTGAAGAGCAGCTGAGGGAGCCGCTGTGCCCATGCCGGCCGCGAGCGCCACAAGCGTAAACCCGGCAGAATTGGGATGGAGCACAAAAACTGGGGGGAAAAAAAAAAAAAAAAAAAAAAGGAAAATGATCACTTCAGTTTCCTTACCCAGGCAAAGAGCTAGCAGCAAACAAGCGATAACTGGAGAAAAGTAAATAGTAACAGGAATGGGTGACCCACATGAGAGCCCAGCACAGGATTTGACCCCGACGGCGCTGCCCCAGCGCGGGCAGGCGTGAGCACCCACCCGTGCCCCAGCCCTCGCCTTCGCACCCGGGTGAAAATCCGGATGGTGCCAATGTCCCAGGCGTTTGGATTTGGCTTGCTAAAATCCGAAACGTGACCCCACAACCCGAAATCCAGAGTGAAACGGGGTGTTGGGTTTTGGTCTGAGCCAAAACGAGCATTTTTAAATTGCTATTTTTATTTTACGCCACCCAAAAATACACTAGACCCATGAAAAACTTTTAAAGCAGAGCTAATGCCAGAGCAAAGGCAGCTGACACATAAAACCAGCGCTGGATCCTGATCTTTTCCTACTATAAACTAGCTGCTAAAGAGTGAAAACAGAGTCTGTGCTTTGGTTAAAGCAAGGTAACGCATGAATCAAGACCCTGTTCAACAAGATCTATAGCCCCGTGTGTTCAACCCGGCATCCACGCTGCTGTGTAATTACTTACTGGACCTGTTTGTATTCCTCTGTATGCTCTGCAATGGTTATCCCATAAAAACTAACAAAGATAAAGATTTGCTTTTGGTTTTGCTTTAAATTCCTGGACATTTCACTTCCTCACCTGTTACAGAATACAATAAAAAACCCTATTCACCACCTGGAGCAACGCAGCATTATCCCAGCCACATCTCCCTTCATTATTTTCATTTTAAAAGGAATTTCTGTGTTCAACTACTTTATTTTAGGGTTTTTTTTTTTAACACCACTGATGCCAGAAAGCACTGCAGAGATGCAGCCCGTCTATGACAAATCTCGGAAGGCGTGATATATATTTTCTTGATTTTTAATCTGTTACGATGTCTTGTTTTCAGCCTCAGTCGTGGTGAGTACCAGGAGCAACATTTATGGCAGTGGGGGACATGTGGTAATAAACAGCTCTGGGATTATCAAATGCTTCTGTCGCTCCGTGAACTGCGAGAGCCGTTTATTGCCATCAGCCACCAGATGGTCACGGCTTCTGGCTGCTGGCACCAGGGGACACCTAACTCAAACTGGTGACTCGGTGTCTAAAGGTCCCAGGTTCTGCTAAAACATGAACACCCGCCATGAACGCTGCTTGGTGAATTTACAGCACTGAGCCATGGCGACACGAGCAGTTTGGAGGGACTCGGTTGATAAATCCACCCAAGACGGAGCCGACACAATGTGGATTCTCCGGTTGCTCTTCCAGCTCAGCCTTGCAAAAGATGCCCCAACACCACCTCCCCGACCAGCTCCCGAAGGACCCAGCTCCTTCTGGATCCTGGTGGGTGAGACCTCTCACTGCGCTGAATTTCTGCCCGCTGCGAGCTCTGGCATTCGTTAGCACTCTAATGAGGCTCCCACCACCTTCGCCACGTGAGCGGCTGCGCAGGGGCTGCACCGTGCCCCATCCCTGGCCATCAGAGAGGTGCCACCTCCATGGGGGCTGAGCAGCCCCCCAAAAGGAGGTGGGAGGGAGCAGCGGGGAGGTCCAGCTCGCTGTCACAAGACTCAGACCCTACTTTGGCCAATAAACGCACACGCAGTCAAACAAAGGTCCGTAAAAACAAAGAGAAAACATGGCCAAAACGGGAACACAACCCATAGCGAGGAGGTTTCGTGCGCGATGGCACGCTCCTCTCCACGCCACCGAGCCAGACCAGCTGATCCCGCAGCACCAGCGCGCCGCTCCCCGCACGGAAAGCCAACCCCAGCACAGCTAATCAGAGCTCAAACCCCTCCGTAAACGTTATTAAAGCTGTATCTGTCCGTGGCAAGGGCTGCGCTGGTCTAGCCCAGCACGCCTTTTGTAGCAATAATTAATAGAGGTTCCCCAGAGCCCTCCTGGACCGGAGCCAAGGCGTCATTATTTGTGTGTAACAGATCTTGCTGCTTGTGTAACCCAACAAACCGCCACACCACCCTATAACGCGCCCTGAGCTATAAACCGTCCTTTATGGGAACTCCGGTGAGGCCGTGAGTCTCCGGGCTGCGGGCAGGATCCTGCCCCGCGTGCCGGCAGCGCCCGCTGGCACGCTCTGCGACGCTGCACCAACGGGAAAACCGGTTCTCAAATGAGAATATGTGCACACCCCCCCGCCCCCCAAAATAACTGTTCTTACAGCAGTCTTGGCTCCTGTACTTGGAGGGAGTATGTTCCCATCAGCCCGTACCGATGCTCTGATAAGGTGCCTGTGCGCTATGACAGGGCTGGATGCCCGGGGACCCCCAGACACGTACTTATTAGAAATATTCAAACATGACAGTGGGAAACCCACTTAGCAGTTGCATTCCAAGCTGTGCTTCTGCTCTGCTGTTTTGCAGACTACATACGGACACACGGTCAGCTCAGAGTATAAACCATTTTGGGTTTATACATTGGTACCATCTTGGGATGTGGAAACCATCTCAGAGGAAGCGGTTTGGTAAGAGGTGGAAGTTACGTCTTAGCTGGAAAAGGAGTCTCTCCTCAGAGGATTTGAGGGATGCACTGCACTAAAGCCGAAAAACATCAGCAGGGTTCAAGGGGAAGTTCATTTCACACGGTGCCATGAACCTTCATCCTTGTTTGCAGTGCATCTTGAGAGCCTCAAATGGAAAATATTAGCAAGAGCATAATATTACTTGAGTTGATCCAAAATTCCCTTAAAATGTTTTCTCAGCTAAAAATAACTTCATCAACAAAATAGACACTTTTGTGAAAAATTTCCTTTTGTAGAAAACCTTGGGGCTTTCAACTGTGTCTTTCACTTGCTGATGTTTGCTTTGTCTCTTCGTGCAAACACTTCCAAGACAAGTGTCCACAAACCCAATCATTTTTGCAGGACTGTTTTGTCTTTGAAATACCTCAGTAGGACAGTAGAAATGGTGGGTTTGATCTGAGCTCGCAAAGTGATGATGGCAAAAAATCTAAAGCTGATGGGCAGGAAACCGCTTCAGCAGTCACGATTTCTGTCCAAGAGAAGCAGCGCCGAGCCCTTCACAGACCTGCCCAGGAATGGGCTCAACCAAAGGGTCCTTGTGTCCCCGTCAGGAAGGCATTCCTTGTCCCAGCTCAAACAGGTTGATGAGCTCAAATCAGGATGATCAGCTCAAACATGCTCTTCATAAAAGATAACCTAATTATCCTGAGAGCACCAGATCTTCACGGTGCTCTTCATGTTAAATCCACCCTATTTAAAGACCACCCGGGTACCACCAATCACAAAACCCGATCCATCAACAGGAACCACATATGCCCGTCCAAGATAGGAACAACACGGAGCCAGGGTACGTCCAGCTCCCTTGGAAAATCTCAAAGCTTACCGTGGGGGTGCTCTGCCCGCAAACGGGTTCGTTGCCATCAAGGACAAGGTCTCCTCTTCCTGGGCCAGCAGCTTCCCAGCCAAGTGGATTATCCATTCATTCTGCTCATAGGTCTTAGGGAAGGAATAAGAAATACAAACGTTAGGCACTGCTGGGCTTGCCGTGTAGTGTTATTAGTGTTAAAGACTTCTGTGCGGTTTCTGGGGAGAGATTACAACCGATTTGGGGAGCAAACGATGAACTTCCTGGTGTTGCAAGGAACAGATCCCGTGGGATCCAACACCTTGAGGTCCAGACCGAGACCCTCTGGCATCTGTGGGGAGCAGGGAGAGCCTCGCTGAGTTTGGCTGATCTGGAAATCATTCCCAAGGGTACAGACACAACTGAGGGTGTGCAGGTCGCAAAGGTTTAATGAGCTGTTCGTTAGCTGAGCTGGGACGGCTCCGTGCACGCTCCCAGCCTGCCCCAACTGCAAAGTGGTGTCCCCCATGCAGAGCATCCCCAAAGGTGTTCCCATCACAGCTAAGCGGGGTGAAGAGCATGCCCGCAGCCAGCAGCCACAGCTCAGCGGACGATCAGAGACTAGATGACGGTCAGGGACGCATCTCCACCTTCACCCAGCCCAGACAGTGACTTCTACTGATGATCTACCTCGTGATGCCTGAGGGGGCATTTCTGCCAGCCCCGCAGCCCTGTCAAGCCCGTGGCACTGCTTCGTCCCAGCGCCAGGGAGAAGCCTACAATGGTGCTACCAGGAAAGCCCGGTGCATCGCCGGTCCAGGAGATGTGTAACACACACACAGCTCTTCCCTGGGTACGGGGCACCCACCATCCGCGCTCCTCCCCACCGCCCGCCAGCTGCGGCTCCTCCTACACCCTGGGTCACAAATCTCATCTTGACTTTACATGTATCTACCATAGCTGGAGGTGTTCTTGCCTGTTCTGCCCCCCGAACATTTGATGTTAATAATTTCTTTCAGCAGCAAGCTCCACAGAGGAACAGTAAGGGCACGTTTTGAAATGACGATTCATGCATCCCTTCAAAATAGGTTGCTATCTCTTGCTGTGTTAGCAGAGAGAAAACGTCTCTATTCCCAATTCCTTTCTCTGGTGCCCTTCTTTATTTCCTTTCATCCAATCTGTCCTCTTTACATCCCAAATCTATGCCATTCCCTTAATCGTGCTGCCACTGGAAGGGAGCAGATCAGCTCTCGGGAGCTGCAGTGGCAGAACTCGACTCCGCATTTTCCTCCCTCCAGGAACCCATGCATCTCATGCTCTTCGCAGGGATTCTTGCTGAGGCTCCATAAAAAGCATTTCGCCTTCTGGTGACTTGCCATATACTTCTATTAAGATTTTTTTTCCCCTCCTTTTTTAATGTGTACCTAAATGGATTTTTTAATGCAAGCAGTAGGGGACACTGTGGGAAAGGGAAACCCGGCAGCTGTACCTGCAGGACTGTGACTAATGCAGAACATCAAGGCAAAGTTACTCTGCAAATCTTTTCTAATGGTGAAGTTTGTTATTTCCGTTGCTATGGGAAACAGAGGAGAGAAACGAGATGGAAAACACCAAACACTGATGGAAAGGCCCATCGAGCAGCAGCTCTACCTCGCAGGGTTTCTGACCCGTGCTCATCGCAATTTAGAGGAAAACCACAGTTATTTAAGCCAACAACTTTTTAAAAGGAGATTATTCCTTTTTACTCCCACTTCCATCCTGCCTCACCGCGCAGCTCCTTCCATCTGCTGTCGCGGATGCTCCACCAACACGGAGGGATGGCAGAGCCGGGGATGTTTCCCACCTCCAGCCCCGTGCCGTGCTCTGCCTACCCCAAAGCCTCCTTTCACCTCCGGCGCATCCCTCTCTCCACCGACACCCCACACCAGCCCCTGTCTCCCACCTCCCGGTCCCCTTTCCAGCGCAGAGGAGGCAGTGGCTCTCAGGGTGGGACAGGGCACCCTCAGCCCCCACAGGACCGAGGCCACCGTGGCCCCGTGGCAGCGGTGTGGGAGGGGAGCCGCGGTGAGCCCCGGAGCCGGGAGCGTGGCATCACACGAGGCGTTAAACAGAAACCTCGCAAATCTCGCAATAACCTCAGCAGGGCTGGCAGGGAGGCAGGAAAAGCCGGCAGCATCCCTGCCAAGGGCCCGACCGCGTCACTTTTCATGGGATGACTCAGGCCAAGACTCCCAGCCGCGCTGAGCGACGCTGTGCCCCTCGAGGGCTCGGCGATGCCCGCGATGCTCGGCTCTGGCCGGGCTTTGGGAGGGGGGGTGCCACGCTGGGACCTGCAGCCCAGGGCATCCTCGGCTGCGAGCAGAGACCTCCCGAGAGGCGCGACACCAATTGCAGAGGACCAAGTAGCACGAGTCAGACCTTCAGTATCCTGCGCCTCCCTGGAGATCCCTTTTTAAAGTGCTCTGTATGATTTTAAACGCTATTTCCAGGAGGGCCTGGGCTCTGCGAGGGTCCTGTGTGTGAATTGGGGAGAAGCCGGGGAAGAACAGAAAGAGAAATCACCAGACTCCCAGAGCTAGAGCTTTATGGAGAACCCCAAATCTTCAAAGCCTGATTCAAAACCATGAGGCTCTGTAATGGTGGGATCAGCTCCCTGGCTCACATGGTCTCCAAATTGTTAATTAGCAGCTCCATGCGCATGAGAGGTGGACTTCTGGTTTGTAAAGTGTTTTTCTTGTAAAATTTACAACATGTCTGGCCCCAGCAAAGTCTGCGGTGAGAAATTTCCACCCGGTGCAGCCCCCCCCGACTTCCCCCAGCACGAAGGCTTAGATATCGCACGCTGCCGATGCTCGGAGCACGCAGGAGCCGAGCTGCGCTAACGACCGCACTGTTTAACTCATTACTCCGTAAAGTGATATGGTGGCAAAGGGAGGGGAAAAAAAAAAGTCCACAAGATCTGGGCTGCGTGCAGGGAAGCATCACACCAGAGGGTGGGAAGGTGACAGTTCCTCTATCGGTGGACACAGTGAGACCCAGACCCGAACACGGTTTGCAGGGCTGTGATGGTCAGGACGGGAACTCTCTGCTTTTGCCAGCTCGGAGCACGCCGAAATGTGCCACAGTGCTCCAGAGCTCACTGTGTGACCCTGAATGGAGCATCCCTGGGGAGGTGCAGCCCACCGTGGATGTGGACATGACTCCCTCCTTTATCTTTCGGGAGTTTTCTTTCTGTTTTAGGACAGAAAGCAACAAAGGAACCTAAACACACAAAGAACCCATCATCAACACAACTAAAATGCCCGGGAAAGGCAGTTGGGGCAGAAGGTTCCCAAAGCAACGCTACCTTCCCTGCGAAGCTGAAGCCTTTCTGTGTTCACAGACAGTCCACGCAGACCCACAGAAATGCAACAGGCGCAGCTCTCCAGCAAGCCAGATCACCTTTAACTGTCCTCACAGCTGGTACCAGCGCTAAAGACCTCCAAAAATCAGGTTTTAGGTATAACACAGTGGACTAACGAAGAGAACCTGGGACTAGGTGTTAAGACCGTGGGAGCTTTTGTTTCCTGACGGGCTCCAGCCTCGTGCGGTGCTGGGGTAGCTGCCTTCCCCCCCGGCTTTCCGTGCCAGTCTTGCTGTGTACGCAGCGTTGGGACGGGGGTTTGCGCCTTCTCCCCACCTGCACACAGCCCAGCGAGAGGAGCCGAGCATCACTGCGCATCCCGGGTACCACCACCTCCTGGGAGCAGCGCTGCCCTGAGATTTCTCTTCAGCTCTTTATATTCTCTGACCACTCCGCTTATACACTTGCTCAGCGTACAAACACAGCATTCTCACCTTGAATACATTACCTTGTATACAGAAGTATTTAATAACTTTACAGAATTTAAACCCGAATCACCGCTAAGTCAGGCACCAGCAAGGAGCTGGGGGCAAACCAGACGCAGTAGCGACGAAACTCTGCAGAGATAACAAAGTAGAAGAGAATATAATCATCGCAAAAAAATACATATAAAAACCACCCGGCGCTACAGGGAACATGTTCCCAACTGAAATAATAATAATAAGAACCCTTTTCCTCTAGCTTTAATTGGTCATTTAATGAAAAAGGACTGCGGATTAGTGTGGCATTTTATTGAATAGCAGTCCTGGCACAGGCACACGGGAGGAGGTAAGTATGAGATGCACATGTGGAAACAGCTGGAAACTTGGAACAGGAGCCCAGCATTATTATTTCACATGGTTGGGAGCCCTGCACGGTCTCACACCGGCGTCGGTGTGCGAGGGTGGATGACAGAGGGGTAGGGGAGGTTTACACTTCCCGCGCTATGTCGTAAGGGGCATTTTTCGCGTCACAGCCTACCCACTTTGGGGGTGTTTTCACCCAATATTCACATCGCTGTTTACACTGCTGTTTCCACTTCTGCAGCTGAGCGCCTTCAACTGTTGCTCTTTAGGGAACTTGAGCTATCAGCTGGAGAAATAATCCAACTCCCACAGAAAAGAGGGCGTAATTCACGCCATCCTTTGCTTTTTTATAATATTGCAGCTTACCAATGTTTGCTACTATCCCGCTGCCTGAACGACTTAACCAAGGGAGGTCAAAGGCTGCATCAGGTCACATCACTTCTCATTATCTCCAATAACCACATCCCCTTCTTGCTATTAGTTTCCCAAAGAGACAAGCCGTTTCTCCGCCGGTCTGGCTCAACGTATAGTATTTCAGCGGGGGCAGTTTCTCAAACCTCGCTAAAAGCCGTCCCTTAGCCCGTCCTCTTAGAAAACGCTTGGGAAAGCAGCAGGTCCCCCGGCGGAGGCGGGCACAGCGCAGAGCGCGGCAGGTCCGGGCCGAGGAACAAAGGGCAGAACAAGACTTTGGGAAGCGGCTCTTAGATCTTGCCTATACGGGGAAATCGCGCACCTGGCACAGCTCCCGTATCACCGCTGTATTTGGAAAGAAAACTCACTTTGTTCCAGAATAGAGTCCAGACAGGGAGGTACGATAGCCACTGTAGACAATAATCATCCCCTGCATAGGCAAGGTCTTACTCTGTATTTATACAGACCGCGGCGCGATAGGCTATCAGTCTTATTTGGGTTTCTAGGCCCTTCCATCACAATATTACGACTGGAGGTGAGTCTGCCCGTGATC